AGTCACTAAGTGATTTTATCTTTGTCTACATTGTATATTTACTTTTCCTACCTCTCTTCTATTTTTACTTTACCTTTTTCCTTTCATTTTTCCCTACCCTTTTCTTTTTCTTTCATTCTACTACTTTCTCCCTCCTCCATGTTGTCTTTCATTCTTTTTAACACCAAACATACAGTCATCACACACACTTTTTTTAAAAAACCCTATTCCTCCACACACCTGCTTGGCTCTGTTCACTAATATGAATGGGGGCAGGCGGCATGTCTATTAACCTCTGATTGGCAGGTTCTGACAGCCAGTGAGGTTGCAGACAGTCTCTTCTCCTCATGAATATTCAGCAGCAGCTGCTGAACACAATTGAAGGCTCAGCTGTTAATGCCACTCATTTCTGTTTCATTTAACTCTTTAATTTACCCACATTAGTGTAAATGAGTGTAGCATTAATCAACATTTTAAGAGATGCTTGTTAAACTTTTCTTCCTTTCAGCCCCTTCCTTTCTACCCTCCTTCCCAAACTCACAACCAACTCAAACAAGCCTTTTAAGGAATAACACTAATGATACAATTAGGAATAATTCATTTTGGTTCCATATTTGGCTTGGCAGAAATATTAGCGATGGTCTCAACCTTTTATTTTGTTTGTTTACATTTTATCATATGAGCAATTTAAGAACATTTGTGAATTTCCTATATAATTTATAGAATTTAATTACACATATATATTAAAGTTCTCCCCCCTAGTTGAAACACAGCTAAGCATTTAGATGTGATGGTTACACTGTATGTCCTCAGTTGAGCCAGCAGAGCGAGCCATTGAGCGTGTGCAGAGGTGGACCCCTGTTCAGTCTGCTGATGTCATGCACAGAGTCAGCACTGTTACAAACATGTTCACTGATGTGCTGAACATGGCTGTATTATGTAACACAGTATCTTGCTGTCTTGTTTCGTTGCTTAGTGACACTCGGGGTGAACATCACGTCACCTAAGTACAGAATTTCAGTCAGTCTCATGCCAACACGGTTTCAGTTTCTGTGGTCCTAAAACAGACTTGCTAGTGATAAAGCTGGATCACCAGTCCAAACCACACAACTGTGATAAGGTCCATAAAGGCCCTGGTTTACTTTTTATGATTTGAGGCTACATAATTCTATTAGTCGCTAATTTGTTAGAAGGTCATAAAACTAAAGTTCAGGCCCTCCATCTGGTAGCACTGGTCATGTAGAGGAGACCAGTCAGTTTTAAGGCATGAACTGTTTTAGTTAATATTGAGCTCATTTGTGGTAAAGTTTGTAAAGTTATCTTTTTTTAAAAGAGAAATAACAAAAATTCAGAGGTTCCAGGTCCTCAAATGCGAATAACTGCTAGTGATTTTATGACTTTCTGAAATGATATGTCCTAAATGGTTGAGCAAATGATTAGGCAACTGTCAGATTAGTTACCAGAAAATGAAAATAAAACACCTTTTATTATTTCTGTCATCTACTTTAAATAAAACTAAAATATATGCATGTGTACAAGTCAAATAATATTGGTGTTAAAAGAAAAAGTTAACTTTGACATGTTGCCCCTCTACAGCAGCAGGCCCATAAGAGTGAGTGTTCAAGGTGCAAAATGTTGCACTTTAGAGGTTCAGAAAACATACCACCAGTTAATTTATATTAAACATGCAGCTTTAGGTCCCCTGAGGGGTCTTGGGCCCCGGGGCAGTTGCACTCTTATTCCAGTTGGTCATCCAGCTTTGATATATTGTTAAGCTCAGAATACAGCAGCATACTGTATGTGATGTGTTGTGTTTACTACCACTGAAGAAGAATACATCTCTGATTCATGCATGATGTCTTTCTGCCTTGTGAAGGCTTCTTAACATTACCTGAAACTATAATACTGCTCAGTAACATAAAAATTCAATGTATTTAACTTCTTCTGTTCTATTAGACCTATGTATGACCCTCTCACGATGGGTGAAGTGGTACATTGAGACTAGAAGCACACTATACTGTCTGTAGCTCCAGGATAACATTAGCTTGAAACATCTGCTAGGTATCGATTTCTAGTACCTTCCCAATCAATAGGATGCTCTGTCAGTGAGTCTATTAGGTATGTGCATGGATGAATGTTTTGTGGGGACACACACTGTAGAGTATAAAAACAGATCTACACATAATTGCATGGATGAATGTTTTGTGGGGACACTCACACTGTAGAGTATAACAACAGGTCTACACATAACTTATCAAATTTGGGGGTTAATTTTGGAGCGAGTTTGGGTTTAGGTATGTTGTGGGATAGAATTAGGATATACCTTTAGAGAACTTCTATTTCAGTGAGAGGATGAAGGTGGTGTCAGTTTACAGGAACATATTGCAAACTGCTCCTCTAGGAAAAGGCGGAGGAGGATGGAAGGATGTGTCAAGTTGCAGTTTGTTGTTCAGCTGATTGTTGCGGTTGTGAAACTGTGACATGAGCTGATCAGGTTAAAACAAATACAAACACACATATAATGGCCATGTACTCACTGATCAGTAAAGGGTCACATGACTCTACTGGGAATCTATAGTCAGCAGATGTTTACATGCCAATGTAACAAGAACTCAAGCAAACCAATGTTTCTCTGGGGAACCAAAATGGACCTCCAACCGCTTTCCAAACAAACAAGATTTACATAAATCATTTCAAACACGTCTCTGAAGCTGACCTAAAGTATAGCTGCCTGGACTGCCATTACACTAGAAAAGTAGTGTTTACTGTCAGTAGTATAGGGTAAGAAGGGGTACCGACATTTAACTCTACCTGTGGCCACCAAATATCAGCAAAGTTAATGTTTTTGTGTTGTGTGCCCAAATGCCCACTGTTTTAAAAGGCTCAATTTACCAGTATCTGTTTCATGCACAACATAAGAGTTTGAGATAACTTGATCTAAGTTTTCCTTAGATCAAGGAAAAATACATCAAATACACATACAATCATACAATGAGGAGATTCATGGTGAGAGCTGGGTATTTGTATGGAACAAAACATAATATCAGCTGGTCTAGTGTTTAATGAGATGTGAAAACTAATCAGATCTCAGGCAATATGCTCCTAAGTGGTTATGGGGAAAATGCCCCCAGGGGCATCTTTAATTATGGAGGACTATTTAGCCAAGAATTCTAATGAAAATGAAAAGGGAAGGGAAAAATTCTATTTGGAAAATGCCTCATTTCAATTTTTATCCTCTGGACGCATGTAAATTAGGGGGCGTAGACTTGAGGATTAACAGCTCTCTGATTGGTGCGGTACAGTTTGGGGAGGAGTCGGACCACAGTGTTGGAAATACACTGTAGCTACTTCTGACCTGCTAACCTCCTAAATACAGCTACTTTCCTCCTTATAACCATACCACCAAGTACAGCTAATGGTAGTAATTCATTATTCATATAATGCAGTTATGTCATTTAATCAACAAACTCTTGCAACAGTAGTAAAGGAAAGTCCGAAAGCAGCTCCTTCTGTTAACAGCCGACACGACCTATGCAGGCTGTGCTTCTGCAGTGTATACATTTATAGCCATACATATATTGCCTATATATATTAATAATTGTGTATTTAATATAGCAACATACAGTAGGTCTACACATGCATATATACCTACTATAAAGAGTAGCCTACTTTAATTTTGATAGCCCACCTTTAAGAACATGTTGCTGATAGAACTGCTGCATTTTGCTCGATGCTGAATAGTGGAGTACTGTATTTATACACCGTGGTATAAATACCGCTTCCTCCCCTGTTATCCAGTGAAATCAACGTTTTCCTTTTTGAGGGATAATAAAGTTAATCAGTCAATCAAATCCGTGTTTTCACTCAGCAGTCAGATACCGATGAAGAAAATCTCGCAATGTATTCGATTCAGGCGAAAATCTGAACAAATGTACCGAGTTACTTATTTCCTCTGATGAATATTCTTGCTCCTTGTCGTCAGGGGTATTTTCTTTTCCCACCAATTTTATAACAGTGGACGTGGGCCTAAATGTGTGTGCGCGCGCCCGTCATGTCGTGAGCGCGCAACTGCAGCAGATCAGAGCGGGAGGGCGGAGGAGTGTGGATGTTACAAGTCACTTCTCATTGCACTAATTTAGCAGAAGGGGAGGAGAGAGAGAGACGTTGAGAGAGCTTGGCTGTGTATTGTGAAGCCAGGGGGGACCGTGAGACAGGCGGACCATTGGAGCCTCTGCAGCATCTGACCTGAAAAAAACGAAAACCAGGGCTGCTGCTACTGCTCGTGTTCCTGCTGCTGAGAAAACCTACAACACCCAAACGCACCGGGCCGGGCGGGTTTTTCCTTCTCCAGGTGTGTGAAAAAAAACGCGGACGGAAAAGAAAAATCGTCTGACGACGATGCGTCGCCGCTGTCATTCATGTCGGGTAAATCACGGACAAGTCAGCAGCTCGTGATATAATACACAGTACGGACACTGGTTCACGTCACAGAGAAACCAAAGGAGAGCTGCGGAGAGACGGAGCTTTGTCAAAGGTCCACTTTCTCAAAAATTCCACCTACACGGATCGTGGTGCCGGAGCTCGGTGTTTACGCGTCGCTGCGGAGCGACCGAGGACGCAGGAGAAGCGGCCGAGAGTTGCGGCCACACGGCCCAGCTGGCTGGGAGCTTTTTGGCATAAGGGCTGCTATTTGTAACGAGGTGAAATCCGAGAGAGAGGACAGAGAAGGATTCTTTACCGCCCACCGCAACCACCAATGGGTTAAAATCGGTTTGTTCTTCCAGAGCAGCCGTGCAGAGCTTCGGACGGTCCGCTCACACCTGCTCACACCTGCCCACCCCGAGCTGCAGGGGTTGTATGATGTAGGAGCCGCCTGCCCCCTCACCTCTCTCTGAATCACCATCCTAGAAAGAAGCCCCCCTCCACCCACCAGTGCATCAGTTTTTCTGTCCCTCCACCCAGCGCCTCACCATGCCGGCGGGGATGAAGCCGCCG